GGGCCCGCGGCCCCCGGACACCGCGCTTGCGCGCTCTGGTCAGCGCGCAGGAAGCTTCTGGTGGGGGGCGGTCGGTTCCGTCTGCTCTCCATAGTGCTCCCTGAACCCCAACTTCTCTGTCTTCCCAGACTCTGAGTTCCCCGCCTCAGAGCCTCAGGGACGGGCTCTCGGGATAGACCACGAAGCCGGGCAGGAAGAGGAGGGGATTACCTTGGAGACAATTTTTTTTTGAGTAATTACTTAATGCATGTCTCATCTCGCCACAACCAAGGAGGTTCAAATGTCATCCCCATTATAGAGATGAGAAAACGGATTCCAAGAAGGGGAAACGTTTGTCAAAGACCCCACAGCCATGGAAAGGCAAAACGGATTCCAGGGAAAGCCTGGAGCTGCCCTTAAGGATCTCTTGCCTTCCTCGGCCTCAAGTCCTCCTGGCCACCCAACGTCTGATGGTGGCTGGCCAGTTCCCTCCCTTCCCCACACCCTAACTGCCCCTGACCCTGGGGAGGCACCACAAGGACTGTGGAAGGACCACAAGGGCTCCACATATGACCGAAAGGGCTCCGGCGGGCTTCAGGATATGTGGGTTCGAGCTCCAGCCTCGCTACAACTTGCTGAGTGGCCTTCAGTGAGTCCCTGCCACCCCCCTGGGTCTCAGTTTCCCCCTCTGTAAAACAGAAGACTTCTGCAGGCCCTTCCAGCTGACCTTGCAGCAGGCCCGTGACCCGGTAAAGCCACTGCACAAGGCCTTGCCATCCCTTCCTCCAGACAGATGTTGGCCAAGTGGCAAAGGCTTCCCGAGCTGTGGCCAAGACAACACCAGCTGCTGTGGGTGCCCCAGGGCCAGGGCTGCCCACCAGCTCAGTGCCAGACCTCTCTTTAGTGTTCCTGAAAACGCTGCCAGCTGCTGCCCATCACCCCCACTCTCCGGAGCCAAAGGCCCTGAAGGAAGGTGCAATGCCCTTCCCCCAGACCTGGCCCTGGGTCAGGCTTGGGCTGGGGAGGGCCGGCGGGAACTCCAGAGATGTGTGTTCCAGACACAGTGTAGCTTTGGCTTTAATAATTAACAGCAGCAAATATTGATTTACACAGCCACTTCCAGGCCTGAGCGCTTCCGGGCACCCATCGAAATGCAGTCAGAGAAACATCCATTCCCACACTGCCCTGGGGGAGGGGAGAGCTGTTTGCATTACCGGAGATGCCTGGGTGCCAGGTGCAGTGGAGGCTGTGCACGTGTGTGTGCGAGCCTTCAAAACTAGATGGCTGTGTGTACACGGACATGTTTCTGTGTGTGCGGAATGCCTGGGTGTATGTGCCTGTGCATGTGTGCTCACGCATGTGAACGTGGGGGCCTCGGAATCCATTTACACGTGAATGTGTCTGACACAGGCATGGGTGGGCTGGGTACGTATTTGTGTGCAGAATTCTGAATCCTGAGCACAGAAAGCCCAGTGTGTGTGTGTGTGTGTGGGGGGGGAGCAGGTGGGTCCTGGGCTGCTCAGTGTCTGCACCAATGTGGCTTCCATGGGGAGGGCGGGGGAGTGTGCTTTCTGGGTGTTCTGTCAGCCCTGGGAGTGTGATGGTGCTGGAAACAGTGCAACTTCCCGATTTCTACTTCCCAAAGTACTTTTGCTCAAGTACAGGCTGGCCAGGTGGGCAGAGAAGGAATCACCACCTCTGTTTTAGAGATGAGGGAACAGGCCCACAGAGGGACAAGGACTGGCCTATTGGCACAGGGGGGGCACTGCCTTCAGACTGGTCCCATCAATGTCATAATGTGCACAGGCAAGGGGGGAGAAGGAGTCACTGGCCTGGACCCTCCCGGCCCACGCCTGGCTAGCGGGGGACCCCAGATGAATCGCTCAGCTCCTCTGGGCACTGTTTCCTGCCTGTCAAAGGAGGAAGATCCACAGACTGTCTTGATCCTGGGGTGGGGGTGTTTTGGAGCCTGCTGTCTGGGCTGTGCTGGCATAAACGGAGGCTTCTAGCCAGACTGGGTGGAGGCCAGGAAGCCCGAGGGAAGGCGGCTCAGCACGAATCCGAGAAGGCCAACCCCAGGCTGTCTGAGCAAGCAGGACTGGGCCGATGGCTGCTCCAGCCCTCACTCTTTGACAGGGAGACTGAGGCCCAGGGAGCGGTAGCCCTGGTCCACGGGTGCATAGTTCCTTGAGAACCCAGGCCTCCTCAAGGAATGCTAAGTGGAAAAGGGATGGGAAGCCTCACCCATGAACCAGCTGCTGGGTCTCCCTTTCCTGCCAAGCCCTAGGACCCGCATAGCCCAGTCTTGGGCTGTTTGTTGCCCAGGCTCAGAAAGCAGGAGAGGGTCTCAGAAATCCTCTTCTGCTGCCACCAGCACCTACTTAGGGCCCAAAGGGATGGTATTCCCATATGTGGACACCATTCCTTGGCCCTCTCCCTCTTGGCCTGGGAAAGGTGTGTGTGTGTGTGTGTGTGTGTGTGTGTGTGTGACTTCGAAACTAGAGAGCTGTGTACACGTGGGACACGTTGTGTCTGTGTGTGTGGAATGCCTGGGTGTGTGTCCCTTGTTCTGGACCAGAGCTCTGGGGACGGGCCAGTAGAGCCTGCCTGTGCTACATTTCACTCTACCGCAAGCCTCTGCTATATCCTGGCTGTACCGCCTGCCTCTGCTGCATCCCACTACCACATGCCTCTGCTGCATCCCGCTGTACCGCCTGCCTCTGCTGCATCCCACTACCACATGCCTCTGCTGCATCCCGCTGTACCGCCTGCCGCTGCTGCATCCCGCTGTACTGCCTGCCTCTGCTGCATTCTGCTGTACCACAGGCCTCTGCTGCATCCTGGCTATATGACCTTGGGAAAACCACTTTGCCTTTCCAAATATTTGGATCCCCAACTGGTAGTGTCTGCTACCCAAGGTTTGATGCAAGGACCAAGAGGCATGATGTCTGCAGACATGCTCTAGAAATTACAGCGTTCTGCAGAAGTCAGGGCTCATTAACGTCTGCGTAGCCTCACACCCAGGCACCCCGGTCACACAGCCTGCATCCAGCCTGTGTGATTCTGGGTAAGCACCTGACCTCTCTGAGCCTCCTCTTTCTTATCTGCAAAGCAGGACTAATAATAGTAGCAATTGTACAATACATGTAAGTTTGAAGACAAAATAAGAGACTGTATAAAAAGCATTAAGTAGGGGGACCAGCAGTTGGTGTAATGGCTATGTCGCTGGACTCCCATGTAGTTGACCGTGGTTCGAGTCCTGGACCCAGTGGCTTAAACTCATGCCGGGTGCGTGTGCGTGCATGCCCAAGATCCCAAGAGGAGAATGGAGGAAAAGGGATTGCAGTGTGGCCATCTCCCCAGGAGGCGATTTCTCGCTTTCTATCTCTGTCTCTGTCTTTCTGACGAGCGCACGTGCCCTATAGCAAAATCCTTTCCCCAAAAAAGCATTATGTATTCACCCAGAGGACCGTAAATCTCAATAGATAGCAGCGATGTCTCCTGGCGTCTGACACTCTGCATAAGTGGGCGGTTACGTGTCTCTTCACTGGACGATGGCTCCTTGAGGGCAGGCCTGTGTCAGCTCCATCTCTGCTTTGCGGTGGCCAGCACACAGTTTGGCACAGGCAGGTGCAGGGCAGACACGGGACTCTGATGACCATGACAATGACAGCCTGGTGTGCCGGGCTCCTGCTCTTTGCAGGTCACATGTGGAAAGCCTTATTGGCACTTTGTCCTTTAGCCCTCCCAGCGGCCCTGGGAAGCCTGGACTGTCACTAGACCCAACTCGCAGGACCCGACGGCGACATCAGCAGTGAGGGTGGGCAGCAGCTGTTGGCGGTCTGTCTCCAGCTGTGCTGCTCAGACCAGCCCCAGCCGCTCCCCACAACAGTCCTCCTGACTGGGTCTACAGACGGAGGCTGGTCCAGGCCCACCCAGGGGGAATAAACCCCAGAAGCAGCTACCTGAGCATTTCATCTCTGCTCTGTAGGCCTTTGTAGACAGCTCCCAGCTGTGGGAGGTCCCCAGGTAATAGGGGGCACTTACCTTAGGGTGGTGTGAAGCCGTGTGGGGGGGAACTAGGTCCCCTCGTGACAGGTCTAACGCCTGAGGGAAGCGCTGGCTCTGCCCATCACTCTTCCTGGAAGAGAAAGTCTCACGTCAGGGAGAGTGCCAAGTTAGGGGGTTCAAGATCTCTGGGAGGAAAAGTCAGACCTGGGGGACATGAGATTTCGTGGAGGAGGGGTGAGAGAAGGGGCTTCCTGAGCAAGCTTCCTCAGGAGTCGGAGATGTGGACAGTCTCTCCCCGAGTTAGGCCTCCAGCCGGGAGGCTGCCCACAGCCCATTCTGAAGATGGTAGACTGAGGTGGGGCAGTGGGGCTTGCAGTAGAGGGTGGAGCTTCTGTGGGCCCCTCCCTGAGCCTTGGGGTGTTAATGGTGACAGTGAGGATACCTGACACTCACAGGCCCCTGTGTGCCTCTTTCTAGGCCTGAGGGTACGGCCTCCTCACCACACTGGCATTCCCGCTTCAGTGACAAGGACTCAATGCACAGAGGTCACGGCCGGTCGGCAGTGGAGGTGGCATGTGCCGGAGACCTGTCTGACTCCCAGCCTGGCCGCTCTGCCCACACCCACACCCCTCCCGGAGGAGAGAAAGCAGGTCTGGTGAGGATGAGGTCAGCTCCTGTCACCCTGGAAAGCCTGCCAAGGCCACCGCTGGGGTCAGCAAGAGGAAGTGCCAGTGTCCTGCGGCCCAGGGGCCCGGGGCTGGGCGAGCAGGCCTGGCTTCTGCCCGCTGCCTAGGGCCACCTGACATGGCTGCACTCCCCACTCAGGTCCTGTCAAGTGGGACTGGCCATGCGAAGGTGAGTCATAGAGCTGCCAGACGACTCCAGCAGCTCATGGCTGTGGCTTAAGTCAGGCAGAGCTGGGACTGTCCTTCCCCGACAGGGGGTATGCCTGCAGGAACCCAGCCTAGGAAGGAGCCCCTGAGGGAGCTCTGAGCCCCTCTTCTGATGCCTCCCAATTGCAGTCGGAGAAACAGCCCAGAAGAATCAGCCATGGGCCCCTGCATGCTGGGAGCTGGCATCTTAGGAGAAATGGCCATGCCATGGACTTGGTCATGCTTGACCCAAGAGCATGGACAGGGTGGCAGGGGCCTTCAAGCCCATGGCATCAGTGTGGGTGAGAGTCGTGGGCACTGACTGGCTATGTGAGCTTGAGTCAGTGACATAAACCCTCTCAGCCTCAGTTCCAGAAAAATCCATCACAGAGCCTGGGCAGACTGTAGGTACTCACTCAGTGAATATGTTCATATTCATTCATTCGAGTAAACTCGGGCTCTCCAAGTTAGGGCCCCATTAAGTGTTTGTTAAATGACTGAATGAAGGTTGACAGTAGGGAGTCTTGAAGGTTTGTGAGCAAGCAAGCACGTGTCCCTACACAGGTTCCCACAGACTGAGGTGTGCTGACACGGGGAGAGAGTGGAGACAGGGTGGGGGGCTGGAGAGAGGCCCATAGAGATGGCCCAGGCAGATTCCACCGAAGTTGAAACCTACTATGTGCCTGGAACTGTGTCAAGTACATCATACTTACTACAGGACTAGAAGGGTGATTAATGAGCCCACTTTCACAGCCAGAGAAACAGGCTCAGAGAGGTGAAGCCACTTCCCCCAGCGAGCAGGTACAGAGCTGGAACAGAAGTACATGCCCTTGACTGAGCAGGGCTGCAGGGGCCAGGAAGTCCGGGGGTAGGGGGCAGGGTGAAGCTGGGTCTCCTTGGCGGTGGGAGCCGCTGTCCTGGCGCCAAGTAATGGCTGTTGCCCATGACTGGGGTGGTTGAGTGGTGTCTTCTGTCTGCCCATCTTGTCCCCCTAGGGCCAGCACATAGCAGCTCCTTCACAGAATCCTTCAGCCTCAGTGTCCCCGGTCCAGGTGTCAATGCCACTCAGGACTGCCCACTCTGCACAGACCAAGGGAGGCCTCTAAAGGCAGGGACTCGGGCTCCCATCTGCTCTCCAGTTCCTGGTTGGCTGGAATCCAGTCCCTGGCACAGGCAGCTCCACCTGAAAAGCCACTGCTGAGGCCTAAAGGGCGGGGCGGAGAGGGTCTCCAAGACCGGACAAGGGAGGGCACTGGAGGCTCCAGGCCCTGTTCCCCTCCGTCCCAGCTCTGAAGAGGGGGAAGGACAGTAACAAGAGCCACGGCCTCCCTGTGCCTGGCATGGCCTGATGCAGTCCTCACAGCCCCGTCAGCCAGCTGCTCAGACTGCCTGCTTCACGTGCGGGGAAACTGAGGCTCAGTGAGGTGGCACAGTTACTGAGGCAGAACAGGCACCGGAGCCCAAGGCCTGACCTTGAGAACGCGGTGGCCGGCAGCGTGGATGCAGCCACATGGAGCTACCCCAGCCCCAGCTCAGGAGCACGGCCCGGCACATCCTGTCAAGAGGGAAAGGTAACCACAGCAACAAACAGGGTGGCCAGGGCTGATCGGGGCTTCCTCTGGGTAGGTCTGCTCTTACTACTCGTATGAACTCGGTGAAGCCCCGTGTTTCCAAGGAAGGAGCTAAGACACAGAGAGGTGGAGTAACCACTCCCGGACGTGCAAGTCGAGCACCTGAAGCCCAGACCACCAGATCTGGACCTGTAAGGAGACACTGTACCGTCACTTAGTAGACAGTAGCTGCTCAACAAATATTCTGAAGCAATGAGTGACCTCGACCCCTCACTCGCCCCCACCTCTGCTCTCTGGTCCTTCTCATCTCAGCCTTCCTCCCTCTCCTCTGTCTCTGCCCGCTCCCTTCCTAAGCCCCCCAGTCCCCTTGCGGGTGTGGCCTCAGCAGGCCTCCCCAGCTTGCGGCTGTCCTCCCTCTTCATGAACATGTCCCTGTCCCTTCCCTCTCTGTCCTGTCCCACTCCTGGTCTGCACCATCCTATTCACACTCCCCAAGGCTCCTCAAGGCTCCCCAAGTCTCTGCCCACTCTCCACTCCCCCCTACACACACACCTGGCTCAGTTCAGAATGCTTTGCGTTCTTCCTACCCGTGCAGCCTAGGGTCTGGGAGACGCCAGGAGAAGGCAGGCTGCAGGACTCTCGTCCGCCATCCCGTGACAACAATCGTCACATCTGCACAGCACCCTATGGCTGACACAGGCATTGTCCCATCCAGTCACCATGGCCGCCTCTTAGTCCTCTGCTTCATTCACAGCAGTGTGCATGTCAGGGTGAGACAGAGAGGACACCCCCACAGGGTCTGGTCATCCCCGGCCCCTCCTGCAGTCTTCCAGCCTGTGGGCTCTTGGGCACTTACACGTGTGCCTGGCACATGCTAGGCTGAGTGGGCTGGAGATTCGAAACACAGCAACTTTAAAAACGAAACAAAACAAAACACTATAGGGCACGTGTGCTCACTGGGGAGAGGGAGCGGGGAGGGAGAGTAAGGAAGCACCTCCCAAGGGCACAGCCATGCCACAAGCCCTTCTCTCCCATTCACTTGGGATTTGGGGTCTACATGCACATCCACCTGACGTGTTTTTCAAGCTGCCAGACCCGGGACTTGAACTGTGCCATTGGCTATGTGAAATCCAGTCGCCTTAACTTCCACAACATCTGCTGGCCCCAGAGACTTCTTGAGGCTGGATTTTGTCAACTTTTAATCCATATGAAATTTATCAGTCTTTGTTCCAGGTGAGAAAACTGAGGCTCAGAGAGGTTAGGTGTTCAGTCCAAGGTCACACCCCAGGGAAAAGGCAGGGCTGGGGTTGGATTCCAGCTTAGGTTCCCTCCTGCTCCCCTCGACCCAGGCCCTCAGTCCTGGCACCCGGCCTCTTTCCTGAGCACCCTGCCCGTCAAAGCTCTGGCTCCTGTGCTTCTGCCCAGTGCCTTCCTAGGCCCAGCCCCAGTCCTGCCCTGCACGGCCTGGACACTGGCCCACTGACACGTGCCTCCTCTGACGCGTGCGAAGGCAGTGGCCAGAGAGGAGGTGACTTGCCCAAGGTCACGCAGCACGGCAGAGCCAACCTGGGTCTGGGCCAGTCGCAGCGCGGGGTCACCTTCAGCCTCTGGCTGCATGGCCACCAGCCGCCTGGCCCCAGCTCCTCTCACTCTGGACCCATCTTTTCCAGGGAAGGGGCGAGGCGGGGTGTGGGGGAAGGGCCAGCTCCTGGGTGGGAGGGGCTGGGCGGAAGCCGCTGCTGACAGCTCCGGGGTTTCTTGGCAACTGTCGTGCCTGCTCCCCTCCCTTATCTGCACATCAAGGGAACAACAATAATCATGGCAGAGTCGTGAGTGCAGCTCTTTGTACTTCTCAAAAGCCCTCTTTATCTGCTCACTCCTGGGACTTTCACCGGAAAGGAGGAGAAGATGAGATCGGGTCGCTAGGACCCCCAATTCCCAGAAGGGCAAACTGAGGCTTGGAAAGGTTAAACCACTATCTGGAGGTCACCCAGCAAAGGGGGGCAGATCAGGGACGAGAGAACCAGAGCTTCCCGCCGGCCAGGGCTCAGATGCCGCACTGGCGTGGGTGGACCTGGGAGAGGGTTCTGCCCTTTGCAAAGTAGCAGGGTCAGACCCAGGCACGGTGGGGACACAGGGGACCGAGCAGCCTCCATGGGTGCTGCCCACCTGTGGACCACCTGGAGGGGTGGTGGAGGGCCCCGTCTTCCCCCATCTGCCACGTGACACACGACGTGCCTGTCTCGTGGGGTCGCCAAGGGTGTGAGGCACACACACAGGCATGTCTGGGTCACTATCACTGGGGACACCAGCCCTTTTAGGTATCTGAGGACAGCTGGGCTGTCCCGTGTCCGGTGTGGAGGACTTGGCCCTTAGGCCATGTGGAGACCCACTCGGGTGGCCAAGGCTGCTGACCTATGACCATCAAGGCTGGAAGCCCATGACTGAGAGCCGGGGAGCTGGGCAGATGACCAACCCTGGGGTGAAAGAAGCCCACCTCGAGGACCCCCACCTCGCACACTAGGAAACCCAGCACGGATGGTCAGGAGGGCAGAGGAGGAGCTGGGCAAGTCAACGAGCCTCGAGCCCAGGAGGACTGGTGGGGACAATCGGGCCTCGGCCCACCCAGCGCTGGCCCCCCAGAGGTCAGGAGGCCGACATCTGGGACCAAGTCCCTTGGGTCTGCC